CCAAAATTCACAATTTTCCACACAAAATTCACAATTTTTCCACCTAAATTCCCAAATTTTCCAAATTTCAACCCAAAACTCGCAATTTTCACCCCAAAAAACCCCAAAATTCCCAATTTTTCCCCCAAAATTCCCAAATTTAACCCCAAAGAACCCCGAAATTCACAATTTTCCACCCAAAGTTCCCAATTTTTCCACCCAAAATTCACAATTTTCCAAATTTCAACCCAAAATTCCCAATTTTTCCACCCGAAATTCCCAAATTTCCACCCAAAATTCCCAATTTTTGCCTCAGAGCTCCAAAATTCCCAATTTTCACCCCAAAATCCCCAAAATTCCCAATTTCTCCCCCAAAATTCCCAAATTTAACCCCAAAGAACCCCAAAATTCCCAATTTTCCACCCAAATTTCCCAATTTTTCCCCCAAAATTCCCAATTTTTGCCTCAAAGAGCTCCAAAATTCCCAATTTTCACCCCAAAAACCCCAAAATCCACAATTTCCCGCCCAAATTCCCAAATTTTCCAAATATCAACCCAAAATTCTCAATTTCTACCTCAAAGAACCCAAAAATTCCCAATTTTCCTCCCCAAAATTCCCAATTTTCACCCCAAATACCCCAAAATTCCCAATTTTTCCACCCAAAATTTCCAATTTTCCCCCCAAATTCCCAAATTTTCCAAATTTCCCTCAAAATTCCCAATTTTCACCCCAAAATTCCCAAATGTAACCCCAAAAAACCCCAAAATTCCCAAATTTCCACCCAAAATTCCCAATTTTTGCCTCAAAGAGCTCCAAAATTCCCAATTTTCACCCCAAAATTCCCAAATGTAACCCCAAAAAACCCCAAAATTCCCAAATTTCCACCCAAAATTCCCAATTTTTGCCTCAAAGAGCTCCAAAATTCCCAATTTTCACCCCAAAATTCCCAAATTTCACCCCAAAGAACCCCAAAATTCCCAATTTTTCCACCCAAAATTTCCAATTTTCCCCCCAAATTCCCAAATTTTCCAAATTTCCCTCAAAATTCCCAATTTTCACCCCAAAATTCCCAAATGTAACCCCAAAAAACCCCAAAATTCCCAAATTTCCACCCAAAATTCCCAATTTTTGCCTCAAAGAGCTCCAAAATTCCCAATTTTCACCCCAAAAACCCCAAAATTCCCAATTTTTCCCCCCAAAATTCCCAAATTTCTCCCTCCAATTCCAGAATTTCCCAGATTTCCCCTCGAAATTCCCAAATTTCACCAGAAAATTCCTCAATTTTCCCCAATTTTTTTCCCATTTTTTCTCCAATTTTCGTCCAATTTTCCCCCAATTTTTTCCCAAAATCCCAAATTTTCCCATTTTTCCCAAAATCCCGTTTTCTCACCCCAAAATCCCCTCCCAGACACCAAACCTTGAACATCCCAAAATCCCATTTTTCCTCCTTTTTTCCCCATTTTTTCCCCATTTTTCCCCAATTTTTTCCCAGATTTTTCCCAAAATCCCAAATTTTTCCCGTTTTTCCCAAAATCCCGTTTTTTCACCCCAAAATATCCCAAAAAACCTTCAACAGCACCAAAAAAATCCCTTTTTATTCCCATAATTTCATCATTTTCCCCCTTTTTTTCCCATTTTTTCCCCAATTTTTGTCCAATTTTCCCCCAATTTTTTCCCAAAATCCCAAATTTTCCCGTTTTTCCCAAAATCCCGTTTTCTCACCCCAAAATCCCCTCCCAGACACCAAACCTTGAACATCCCAAAATCCCATTTTTCCTCCTTTTTTCCCCATTTTTTCCCCATTTTTCCCCAATTTTTTCCCAGTTTTTTCCCAAAATCCCAAATTTTCCCGTTTTTCCCAAAATCCCATTTTTTCCCCCCAAAATATCCCAAAAAACCTTCAACAGCACCAAAAAAATCCCTTTTTTTCCCATAATTTCATCATTTTCCCCCTTTTTTTCCCATTTTTTCCCCAATTTTCGTCCAATTTTTTCCCAGATTTTTTCCCAAAATCCCAAATTTTCCCATTTTTCCCAAAATCCCGTTTTTTCCCCCCAAAATATCCCAAAAAACCTTCAACAGCACCAAAAAAATCCCTTTTTTTTCCCATAATTTCATCATTTTTCAGCCGTTTTTCCCCATTTTTTCCCCAATTTTAGTCCAATTTTCCCCCAATTTTTTCCCAAAATCCCATTTTTTCACCCCAAAATATCCCAAAAAACCTTCAACAGCACCAAAAAAATCCCATTTTCCCCCTTTTTTTCCCATAATTTCATCATTTTTTGGTCGTTTTTCCCCATTTTTCCCCAATTTTCGTCCAATTTTTCCCCCAATTTTTTCCCAAAATCCCAAATTTTCCCGTTTTTCCCAAAATCCCGTTTTTTCCCCCCAAAATCCGCACCGGGGCACCAGGGGTTGAACAGCAGCACCACGTCGTTGTCGCCGTCGAAGGGCGCGGCGAACTCGCCGCTCTCGGTGCGCGTGCGCACGCTCAGCCGGTACCGACCAATGGGAGCCGTGGGCGGGGCCCGGAGCCCCACCCACACCACGTCACTTCCGGCCACGCCCACCAGTGGCTCGGCCACGCCCTCGTCAAGCTCCGCCTCCCAGCCGGTGGGGGAGGAGCCTCCGAGCGGGACCAGCACGTGGGTGCCCTTGGAGACCTGGGGGGTGGGGCCTGGCAATTCCCGGAATTCCCGGAATTCCCGTCAAATCCCGGAATTCCGAGGGGGGAAAATCCACCCCGATTTCCACAGAATTCACCCCAAATTTTACCCCAAATTTTTCCCCAAATTCTACAAATTTTTCCCCGAAATTTTCCCGATGTTTTTCAACATTTTCCTAAAATTGCCCAAAGTTCACCCAGAATTTCCCCAAATTTTTCCAAAATTTCCCCCAAAATTTTCCCAAAAAAATTCCCAAAATTTCCCCCAAAATTTCCCCCAAAATTCAAAAAATTTTCCCAAAATTTTCCAAAAATTCACCCAAAATTTCCCCGAATTTTCCCCAAGTTTTTCCAAAATTTTCCCCAAAATTTTCCCCCAAAAATTCCCAAAATTTCTCCCAAAATTTCCCCCAAAACTTTCCCAAAAATTCCCCAATATTTTCCCCCAAAATTCAAAAATTTTTCCCAAAATTTTCCAAAAATTCACCCCAAATTTTACCCCAAATTTTTCCCCAAAATTTTCCCAATATTTCTCAAAATTTTCCCTAAAATTTTCCCGGAGTTCACCCAGAATTTCCCCAAATTTTTCCAAAATTTCCCCCAAAATTTTCCCAAAAAAATTCCCAAAATTTCCCCCAAAATTTCCCCCAAAATTCAAAAAATTTTCCCAAAATTTTCCAAAAATTCACCCAAAATTTCCCCGAATTTTCCCCAAGTTTTTCCAAAATTTTCCCCAAAATTTTCCCCCAAAAATTCCCAAAATTTCTCCCAAAATTTCCCCCAAAACTTTCCCAAAAATTCCCCGAAATTCAACAAATTTTCCCAAAATTTTCCAAAAATTCACCCAAAATTTCCCCGAATTTTCCCCAAGTTTTTCCAAAATTTTCCCCAAAATTTTCCCCCAAAAATTCCCAAAATTTCTCCCAAAATTTCCCCCAAAATTCAAAAATTTTTCCCAAAATTTCCCCCAAAATTCAAAAATTTTTCCCAAAATTTCCCCCAAAATTCAAAAATTTTTCCCAAAATTTCCCCCAAAATTCAAAAATTTTTCCCAAAATTTCCCCCAAAATTCAAAAATTTTTCCCAAAATTTCCCCCAAAATTCAAAAATTTTTCCCAAAATTTCCCCCAAAATTCAAAAATTTTTCCCAAAATTTCCCCCAAAATTCAAAAATTTTTCCCAAAATTTCCCCCAAAATTCAAAAATTTTTCCCAAAATTTCCCCCAAAATTCAAAAATTTTTCCCAAAATTTCCCCCAAAATTCAAAAATTTTTCCCAAAATTTCCCCCAAAATTCAAAAATTTTTCCCAAAATTTCCCCCAAAATTCAAAAATTTTTCCCAAAATTTCCCCCAAAATTCAAAAATTTTTCCCAAAATTTCCCCCAAAATTCAAAAATTTTTCCCAAAATTTCCCCCAAAATTCAAAAATTTTTCCCAAAATTTCCCCCAAAATTCAAAAATTTTTCCCAAAATTTCCCCCAAAATTCAAAAATTTTTCCCAAAATTTCCCCCAAAATTCAAAAATTTTTCCCAAAATTTCCCCCAAAATTCAAAAATTTTTCCCAAAATTTCCCCCAAAATTCAAAAATTTTTCCCAAAATTTCCCCCAAAATTCAAAAATTTTTCCCAAAATTTCCCCCAAAATTCAAAAATTTTTCCCAAAATTTCCCCCAAAATTCAAAAATTTTTCCCAAAATTTCCCCCAAAATTCAAAAATTTTTCCCAAAATTTCCCCCAAAATTCAAAAATTTTTCCCAAAATTTCCCCCAAAATTCAAAAATTTTTCCCAAAATTTCCCCCAAAATTCAAAAATTTTTCCCAAAATTTCCCCCAAAATTCAAAAATTTTTCCCAAAATTTCCCCCAAAATTCAAAAATTTTTCCCAAAATTTCCCCCAAAATTCAAAAATTTTTCCCAAAATTTCCCCCAAAATTCAAAAATTTTTCCCAAAATTTCCCCCAAAATTCAAAAATTTTTCCCAAAATTTCCCCCAAAATTCAAAAATTTTTCCCAAAATTTCCCCCAAAATTCAAAAATTTTTCCCAAAATTTCCCCCAAAATTCAAAAATTTTTCCCAAAATTTCCCCCAAAATTCAAAAATTTTTCCCAAAATTTCCCCCAAAATTCAAAAATTTTTCCCAAAATTTCCCCCAAAATTCAAAAATTTTTCCCAAAATTTCCCCCAAAATTCAAAAATTTTTCCCAAAATTTCCCCCAAAATTCAAAAATTTTTCCCAAAATTTCCCCCAAAATTCAAAAATTTTTCCCAAAATTTCCCCCAAAATTCAAAAATTTTTCCCAAAATTTCCCCCAAAATTCAAAAATTTTTCCCAAAATTTCCCCCAAAATTCAAAAATTTTTCCCAAAATTTCCCCCAAAATTCAAAAATTTTTCCCAAAATTTCCCCCAAAATTCAAAAATTTTTCCCAAAATTTCCCCCAAAATTCAAAAATTTTTCCCAAAATTTCCCCCAAAATTCAAAAATTTTTCCCAAAATTTCCCCCAAAATTCAAAAATTTTTCCCAAAATTTCCCCCAAAATTCAAAAATTTTTCCCAAAATTTCCCCCAAAATTCAAAAATTTTTCCCAAAATTTCCCCCAAAATTCAAAAATTTTTCCCAAAATTTCCCCCAAAATTCAAAAATTTTTCCCAAAATTTCCCCCAAAATTCAAAAATTTTTCCCAAAATTTCCCCCAAAATTCAAAAATTTTTCCCAAAATTTCCCCCAAAATTCAAAAATTTTTCCCAAAATTTCCCCCAAAATTCAAAAATTTTTCCCAAAATTTCCCCCAAAATTCAAAAATTTTTCCCAAAATTTCCCCCAAAATTCAAAAATTTTTCCCAAAATTTCCCCCAAAATTCAAAAATTTTTCCCAAAATTTCCCCCAAAATTCAAAAATTTTTCCCAAAATTTCCCCCAAAATTCAAAAATTTTTCCCAAAATTTCCCCCAAAATTCAAAAATTTTTCCCAAAATTTCCCCCAAAATTCAAAAAATTTTCCCAAAATTTTCCAAAAATTCACCCAAAATTTCCCAAAATTTCTCCATTTTTTCGCAAAACTTCCCCAATTTTTCCCAATTTTTCCCAAAATTTCCCCAAATCTCCCAAAATTTACAAAATTCCCCAAAATTTCCCCAAAATTTCCCCAAAATTTCCCCAAAATTTCCCCAAAATTTCCCCAAATTCCACAAAGTTCAGCCAAAATTCCCCCAAAATTCTCAAAATTCACTCAAAAAATCCCCAAAATTCTCCCAAAAAATCCCCAAAATTCCAAAAAAATCCCCCCAAAATCCCAATTTTTTCCCCAAAAAATTCCAAAAATTCCCCCCAGAACTCCCAAAAAAATCCCAAAACTCCCAAAAAATTCCAAAATTCCCCCCCAAAAAAATCCCAAAAAATTGCTCCCAAAATTCCAAAAAAAATTCTAAAAAAAATCCCCAAAAATCCCAAAATTCCCCCCAAAAAAATCCCAAAAAATTGCCCCCAAAATTCCAAAAAAAATTCTAAAAAAAATCCCCAAAAATCCCAAAATTCCCAAAAAAATTCCAAAAAGTCCTCCAAAAAATATCCCCAAAATCCCAAAAAAATCCCCAAATTTGACCCAATTTTTCCCCATCCCTCAAACCCCCAAAATTCCCAAAATTCCCCCCAAAAAATCCTAAAAATTTTACTGAAAAATTCCCCAAAATTCCCCCAAAATCCCCCCAAAAATAAAAAAAAATTCCTCCTAAAATTCAAAATAAAATCCAAAAAAATTCCCAAATTTTCCCCAATTTTTCCTTCATCCCCAAATCCCCAAAAATTCCCAAAATTTCCCTCCAAATCTCCAAATTTTCCCCAAAAAATCCCCCAAAAATTACCCAAATTCCCCCCAAAAAATCCCAAAAATTTTCCCCAAAATTCCCAAATTTACTCCAAAATTTTCCCCAAAAATCCCAAAAAGTTCCCCAAAAAATCCCTAAAAAATCCCCAAAA